AAGTATAAAGACCCAAGTAAGCCATGGACAAGGAAAGGCATTGAAAACGCATGCAAAAAGAAAAACAATTGATATAAATTGTTTATAAAATTGAGAACTGAAGAGGCAGAAAAAAAATATAAGACCTATAAACATAAACGAGTAAATATTATAAGAACCAGTAAGAGAGACCATTTTCATTCACTATTAGAGCAGAATAAAAGAAACACACAAGAAATCTGGAAAATAGTTAATCAAGTAATCAGAAATAGTCCTAAAAAAGTGGATGACCCAGAGTATTTTATCAAAGGCAAAAATACTATTATTGAAAGAAACTGCAGAAATAGCAATTGAATTTAATGAGTACTTTGTCAACATCGGCAGTAACCTAGCAAAACAAATTCCTCATCCAACAAACTTGTTTGAAATAGATAGATACGTAGAAAAAAAACTCCTCCACGATGTTCCTTACTGCTGTAAAACAAGAAGAAGTATCAAATATTCCAAGAACTTTTAAAAATAAAAAGTCAACTGATTACTTTAATATTGATATGACAATAATAAAACAGATGATAGAATTTGTAGTATGACCTTTCATGCACATATGCAACCTGTCATTCAAAGCTGGTACTTTTCCATCAAAAATGGAAATTGCTAAAGTTATCGCAATTTATAAAAGTGGAGAAAGATATTTGTTTACAAATTATAGACCAATATCACTACTACCACAATTCTCAAAAATATTAGAAAAACTATTCTCTAGCAGACTTGATAGCTTTATACAAAAACATGCGCTGTTTAGTGAGAATCAATATGGCTTCACCTCAATGGCAGTAATGGAGTTTGTGGGAGCAATAGCCACTAATATAGACAACAAAGAATTTACTGTTGGGATCTTCCTTGATCTCAAAAAAGCCTTTGAAACAATCGATCATAGTGTATTATTGAATAAACTAGAAAGATATGGCATGAGAGGTGTTGCTTATAAATGGATAAAAAGTTATTTAGATAACAGATATCAGTTCGTGCAGCTCAACAATAACAAAAACGAACCAACTGAAAATCACTCATGGAGTTCCTCAGGGGTCAGTGTTTGGTCCAAAACTATTCATGTTATATATAAATGATATCTGCAAGGTCTCAAAACAATTTAAATGTGTCCTATTTGCTGATGATACAACTTTCTACTGTTCTGGAATAAATCTGAAACAGCTCCTGACAACCGTAGAAAACGAATTAAACAAATAAAAAAACTGGGTCGACAGAAATAAGATTGTCACTTAACTTGAAAAAAATCTAAGTTAATTGTTTTTGGCACAAGACCAATCAAACACCAAGCTAAAATTATGGTAAACTCAACTGAAATAGAAAAGAGCGTATGAAATCAAGTTTCTCGGATTAGTAATAGACTCAAAATTATGTTGGAAGCCACATATCGAGAACGTAAAAAGAAAAATAGCCAAAACCATAGGGATCCTCTACAAAACCAAGGATGTGCTAAATAAGAGATCTTTGTACACATTATACTCTTCATTATTATTACAATATATGACCTACTGCAGTGGTCCTCAACTAGAAATGCTGTAGGTCCACTTTTTTTTAATAAGACCAAGGTCCGGTCCCATGCACGGCGGTCATGGGGAGCAGGGCTATTTGCCCATTTAGTATGGTCAACCCAAGCTTATACAAATCAACACTCACAACCAACCAATAATGGGGTGCATGAAAATAACAATTATTCACTTTGCCAGTACACAGCAAATTATGAGAGGTATTGTGTTGAGGCACAGGAACTTTTTATTTTGTTAAGTTGTGCCTGCTTGATAATAGAAATAGCCCTTTTAGGGAAATAAGACATTTTTACTTTAACTTTGTTAAACAGTAGTTGTCTTTTTTTCCCCTTAATTTAACAAAAACAAAACAAAATACCAATTTTACCAAAATAAATACTAAACATGAAAACAAAAATATCTTTTTCATTTGTACAATTCCCCTTTTCACATCCCCTCTGAAATCACTGAAAAATATATCAGAAGAGGAGTTAAGAACCATTTTAAATACCGGTACTGACACAAGGGAGCACAGGAATGTGCAGTGCTGTTCTTCCACTAAAGGTGAATGCAATGTCTGAGGCATGCAAATATTATTTGAGGAGGCCATTGTGATGTTCATTTACTATGTTGCGGTGTTCTGCTGTTAAACAGCTGCAAAGATCCCAGGGTAGACGGGAGCAAAACTGCACACAATCGAAACGTCCCGCGATTCGTCTTGTCTAATTGTCTGTGTGCGGCTCTCCTGGACTGAAGCTGTGAACACACTGTGGCGTCGCGCATGCGTCTGTTTCCTGACACAATCATCCATTTTGAATGCGTGTGTATTGGGATTGACGCGTGCTGACGCTTGTTTGTGGGCACACCTTAAGTTCAGAGAAGCCAATTAGCGCATCGTATATGCTGACGCTTATGTATGGGCACACCTTAAGTTCAGACGAGCCAATCAGTGCGTCGTTAACGCCGACATGCCCTGCTCAGCCAGGGTCTCCAGTTAGTCAAACATTATACAACACACAGTCGCGCTGCTGCGGTCCTCTGCAATATATCTGTTAGTGCACGCAAAGAATACAACGGATAATTTTAACAAGCGATCGCGGTAATGCACAGATTATAGTCCACAAATATAAAATGTATAACGTAAAAATCACTTTATAATTTATTATTTTATACAATTTGCCGAGGGTCCGAACAGAGGAGAGGAGGTCCGGACAGAGGAGGTCGGCGATCCGGTCGTGTATCGCGGTCCGCCAGTTGAGGAATTAAGATTAAGATATCCTTTATTTGTCCCACAATGGGGAAATTTACAGTCCACAGCAGCAAGATAATGGGGAGAAAGAAGAAAGAAGAAAAGAAAACAAACACTGTTCAATTAAGTGCAATATAAATACAGATATGGATAAGGTCGCAGTGCTATTTACAATTGTCTTCCACATCATTTTATTTATTTTTTATTTTTTATTCAGCAGCCTGACAGCAGTCGGTAGGAAGGAGCGGCGGTGTCTCTCCTTCTTGCAGCGCGGGTGTAACAGTCTCTGGCTGAAGGAGCTACCTTGTGCTGTCAGGGCGGGCTGAAGGGGGTGGGAGGGACTGCTGACCTACTGTGTGGAAATAAGGGGAAATGCCTGTAAAACAAACACACTCCCTATTCTAAAACTACAAAAAAAAAGCAATCCGAATTATTAATAGATCAAAATATACGGAACCCACAAATCCACTATTTATCAAATTAAATACGATGAAATTTTATGACCTTGTTGACTTTAAAATCGCCCAATTAATGTACAAAGCACACAATAACCTGCTCTGCCAAAACATTCTGAAGTTTTTCGAAATTCGAGAAAGCTGCTATGATTTGAGAGCTACCAACTTATTCAAAAAACTCAAAACAAGACCAAACATCAAGCAAAGAAGTGTATCTGTCAAAGGTGTTAATCTGTGGAATAATTTCGAAACGGACCGAAAATGAGTAAATCGCTTGCTGAAATAGTAAAAAGTAGTACAAACAACCTACATCGATGAGAGTTAAGGTGATAAATTCTAAACATTAATTAAATATAATAATAAATCAGAATTAAGTTGATAAATAGAGAAAGGTACTGCAATATCCATTATGAACACAAGAGAAAATTGACACAAGAGTGCCAGGGTGTGTATGTATAAAATCCCGATACAAACCAAAAGTTGTAAAAATATCACGGTTAAGGGTAAAAGCATGAGCCTTTATGGAGACTTCCTTCTTCTTTCTCTTTCTTTTCTGATTGATATAAAAATGATGTATTTATACATAAACACATAACACGGGGTCGGACTAGATCCGTTTTTTACTTCTTCCTACTCCTTTGAACATAATAATTGTGGTGAATGATGACTGATTTCTCTTTCCTTTTTACTATTTTACTTACCTTACTTTCTTTCAATTTATTACTGTATATGTGTTTATGTTCAATAAACAAACGAAACAAACAAACTTGAAGTTCTCAAAAGGACTTGGTAAGATGTTCATTTTCCAAATTAGATTTTCATTCAAATTAAATTTAATTTGTTCTCATCCATCCATTTTCTAATCCTCCCATCCTCACGAGGGTCGAGGGTCGTGCTGAAGCCTAATTTTGTTTTCATTCAATTGGAAACATGACAAAACACATCTGCTGGTCTCCGACGGGAGCAAACACGCTGCAAACGTCCGAAAGCTGAAAAAAAAAACCACACACAAGCAAGATAAAAAAACCACACAAAACAACTGCGAAACAAAAACCATGCGTGGGGTCTACTTGTCACGGTTGCGAGGTGGTGTTGGACCCAAAATACAGGCAGGAGGGAGGAGCAGGGTGTACTTGAAGAATTGTATTAAAACAGAGAAAACTAAATCCAAAGCAAACAAAGTCCAAAGTATCAAACAAAACACATGACCGAAGATAAAACATAACAATGACCAAAACCTGACTGAAACAAACATGACAGTAGCACAAAGCAACAGCAACAAACAAACATGACAGTGGCAAAGAGCAACAATGACCCGACCATGATTGCTCGGGCTGGGAGTCCTTTTAAAGCCACTCAAGATTGCTCGGGCTGGGAGTCCTTTTAAAGCTACTAATTATCTAATGACCAACAGGTGTGCAGCTGCAGGGGAGCCCTACAGTGCCACCTGTTGGTCCCAAACCGAATCATGACACTACTGGATTAGTCAATGTACAGATACTTTTGCGACCTCCATTAGCTAGGGGGTAGTAGAGTTTAAGACAGAAAGGGAAAGCGAAGAAGAGAGGCGTGATCTCTTCTTTGATGGAAAGAAGAATAAAAAGGAGAAACATACCACCTGCTGGTGTCCTCGCGTTTTATTTCCTGCTCACACAACACGCTACCAAACAGAAAATCGTTTCAAGTTTTTTTTTTTTCCCAAGATGGCGCCCGAATAGGCAGCCTTCGGCAAGTGCTCTTCAAGAGCCTTGCGGTTTTTGTTGTTTTTGTTTTTGTTTTGTCACATGGTGTTGTTACGTCGTGTGGACCTGATGTGGACTGTTTTCAGCATTTTTGGACACGACATTAGTCAAAGAAGAATAATCTGTGCTTGGTGGTTGCGCCTCCTCGGCAGCACTGATTTTTTGATTGGGAGGAATGTCGGCGCCATTTGACTGTCGTTGCTGGACATCCCCGGGGCGCTTGTGTCTTGCGCCTGAAGTAGGCAGCATTTTCACGGCCCCGCTTTGTTCAGCGAAAAGGTCGGTGCTGATGGACAGTCTGCGGCTGGATGGATGCCTGGATTGAGGAGCCGACGATGAGAAGAAAGGAGCGTCAGCGCAGAGCGCCAATGCGTGGAACTGGGAGTCGCGGCCTGGAATTGAAACGGATTTTCATGGGACAGGAGAAGAGAGCCAATCTCTCTTTTTCGTTAATGGATGCTACAGCTTCTTGTTGCTTTCAAGCTTAGCTTGTAGCAGACGTGTGCACATTGCAGCGTGACATCTTTGATCCACTGGTGAAAATGACACTTTGATTCGCTGCTCTTTCATCGATAACTGCTTCAGACAACAAAGTGTTTGCAGGAAAGTGGTTAAGATTGCACGATTGTCTGTGTCTCAAGTGTTGTGTAATATTATCTTGTCCTTTTTTGTTCACTTTTCTATTGATGGCGGCGCAGACACCCGCAGCGCCTCCTCTTGTTTTATGTTGAGAGGGAAGAAATTTCATCTGTGCTGTATAGCAGGGGTCCCCAACCGCCGGTCCGTGCTCCGCAGGGCATTTGGTACCGGGCCGCACAGAAAGAACTTGCCTTAATTCCATTTTACTTATTTCGGGATACGAAAGATGTTTCATTTTGAAAAATTACCGGATTCTCCGTTACATCCATCTGCGCTTGACACACATCAAGCCACGCTTCTCCGTCACGTGACGGATTTCGCTAAAAACAAAACGCCAGAGCTCGCAAAATGAGAAAAAAACTGCTGCAGATCGCAAATGACGGCGTCCTTAAAAGTACGTTCGAGACAACTGGATTAAAGTTATGGCTGAATACTCTGGGATCGCCACAATACCACTGTTGCTATTTCCGACATCCGACCTGTGTGAGGCGGGGGTTTTCTGCAGCAACAGTGAAAAAACCAAAATTACAAAATTACCAAGTAGACTGGACATAAACCACACACTTGAGGTGTCATTGTCTCCTATTACCCCGAGATGGGACCGTCTGGTTGCAGAAAGTCAAGCTCGGGGCTGTGGTGAGTCGTCATTTTCATGCACTTTGAATTTGCATTGTATCGTATTTTGAAGGCATTAAACATTACCATAGTGATTAGAGTGTTGCAGCCAGATTAGACGCTCCTTGTGTTTATTATATTTCGAAAACACCACAGTTTTCATGCAGCACATACCATATTATTTTTTTGTATTATTTCCGCCACACCTTAAATGCCGGTCCCTGAAAATATTGTCTGACATAAACCGGTCCGTGGGGCAAAAAAGGTTGGGGACCCCTGCTGTATGTTACAGCACATTTGACAATAAAGTTGTATTCAATTCAATTCAATAGCCATGTAACAGTGCTGGTCTGTTACATAAAAAAAAAAAAAAAATCAAACATATGTGTTTAAAAAGACATGAAATTAAACGAAGGGAGACTCACAATTGGACAATTCACACTTAATCTGACAAATGCAGTTGAAAGCAGCAGGATTGTCCACACACACACACACACACACACACACACACACACACACACACACACACACACACACACACACGCAGTCCTGTATTTGTGGCACAGGACCAAGTGAAAAGGCCTACAAAGCGAGGACCACCCTTTCTGCTTGACGAAGGAACTAAAAAAACACACTTCTAGAAACAGGGGGGCGTCCTTATCCAATACACTGCCTTAGATTAAATAAAACACCAAAAGTTAAGAAAAAGTTTTGAACTAGGTAAGTGAGGACCAGGCACTGACCATGGGTTCTGAATGATTTTTTAAGTAGATGAACCTTACTGAACATTTAAGGATGTAAATTTATCATCAGAAATGTTACATTTTGAAATATTTTCTCACTATTAACAGGGGAGTGTCATTCATTCAGTCATTTTCCAAATCACTTCATCCTCACTAGGCTCGCGGGGGGTGCTGGAGTCTATCCCAGCCATCTTCGGGCAGTAGGCGGGGGACAGCCTGAACCGGTTGCCAGCCAATCGCAGGGCAGACAGAGACAAACAAGCCATCCGCGCTCACACCTCAGGACAATTTGGAGTGTTCAATCAGCCTGCCAGGCATGTTTTGGGAATGGGGGAAGAAACCGGAGGACCCGGAGAAAACCCACGCAAGCGCGGGGAGAACATGCAAACTCCACACAGTAAGGCATGAGCTGGAACTGAACCCGGTACCTCTACACTGTGAAGTCGACGTGCTAACCACTCGACTACCGGGCCACACAGGGTAGTGTCATTTATTGAAAATATTCCTTATTAAGAAGCAAATTGGTTACTTCAGTCAGGGGAACTGTTTGTTTTAATGGCAGTTTCGCTGTCAAAAGCTAAATCATCACTTTCTTAGAAAAACAAATGTAGCCGAAGAATTCAGTTTGCAAAAGACAATTTGTATTTGCCATATCAATTCGCGGTGACTTTAATGTTTTACTCGGGGCAGCATGGCTTGTGGACAGAGTGGTCATCTTCCAAACCAGAGTTTGGCGCTTCAATCCGCGGCCATACCAACCTTGTCCAAGTGTCCTTCAGCAAGCTACTGAACCCCAAGTTGCTCCGGATGCTGCATCATCAGTAGGATCAATGAGGAAACATTGCGAAGCATTTTGAGTTGATATACGTAAGTGACAACCCATTTACCATTGACATGAAGCAGAATGAAAATAAATAGTTCAAACCAGTTTCTGAGTTGCCAGTCAATTTAACTGGCCCTTGGTTGGCCATGCAATTTGATTCACACAAAAAATGATGAAGACATTTAGTGGTAGAGCATCAACTTCAGAATTGATGCTTCATTTTCAGAGAGCCATTTCTGTTCCGGTGTTAAAGGCTCAATCTACAATGAAGAGAAATTGGTGAATGATGGATTTTTAATTCTTCAAACAGTAATTTTTTTACAAAACATGACATCGCCAACAAAATAATTGCGATTTCACTCTCCGTTTATCATTCTCAACCTCCCTTTCACCCCTCCCTCCATCTCTCCCTACATCCCTCCCTCTCTCCTATTCCCTTTCTCTCCCTTCATCTCTGTCCCCACTTATTCTCCCCCCCTTTGGTGTCTCCCTCTCTCTCTTTCCCTCATTGTCCATCTCTCTCTCTCATCTTGAAACTTGTTTCAAACTTTTTTAACGTCTGTTGACTGCAGCTTTCTCCTTATGCATCCGGGGTCTCTTCCTTTATTTTTTTGGTTTCCATTTCTGCAGAAAAAAACCCAAAAGGGGTTTATTAGCAGTGGAGTTGAATATAAACAGACATTCTTGAAGTTGTATTCAAATCTAAACGCTGCCTTGATTGATAACAGGAACAGAATAAAAAGTATTAAAAATGCATTGATTCAGTACTTATAAAACATGTTTGAGGCATCTACCTTAAAGCAACTTTGTTGACTTAAAAACACGTTCACAGCAATTTCCCTCAAGGTATGATTCATGAGTGTTATGCTCTTTACACTATTTTAAAAATTTCCATATCCTTAAAATGAATGTTTTTTGTTTCCGTCTTTCAAGGCTTGTTTGTCTATGTGGGCCCCCCGATTGGGTGGCACTCAGTTAAGGGTGTAATCTGACTACTGCCCAATGACGGCAAGGATAGGCTCCAGCATGCCCGCGACTTTTCTAAGGATTAGAAAATGGATGGATGGATCTGTGAACCAGATGAAGTCTTCTATTGTGAAGCACATACAGAAAAAGCAGTCTTTGCAAGTAGCTAAAAACAGCTGGTTCAATGGCCAAATAGTCTGACTGTGAATGTGTTTGAGAAACCGTGAGTGATCTATCTGCAAATTATCTACCGGCACTGTTGACATTCATGTTTAGAAGCTACAATCAAAGCCTGAACCACTGTGGTGATTTCAGAGCAACATAGGTGGTGAAAATTATCGAATAATGTGTGCCCTCTCATTCCATTCCATGTTTTCTTGTTTGCATTGAAATGCATGATATTCCAATTCATTCAAATGTCATATATGTAACCTCCAGTCACTGATGCTGTCGTGGTAGGCTTTTTTTTTTTTTTTAATTGGCTTCAGTTACAATCAGTGTGTGACTGTAACAAAATTACATAATAACCCTGTAACAGAAATTGCTATACAATAGAAATTGAAGACAATGTTACAAGTGAGTATACAAGTCTGCGACACCAGTTTAAGCACTGGTCCTTCCCATCTGCAAGTCACAGTGTTGTGTTATAGACTCACCCAATCCATGTCTTCCCAAAATGTTCTTTTAAGCTTGACTGTCTTCTGGCACACAGCCCCATCTATAAAAGAATACGTTTTGATAGAGTCAAAGTGCTTCCATATGCATCTCAGAACTATGTCAATACTTAGAGATGAAAGTGGACTTTCCTGAAAATTCTGGGCGGGGACGGGGGGGAGGGGGGATGTATGTATGTATG